AACAAAGGACATAAAATGAGAAATTTTGAAGCGGATTTAGATTTCTATGAGTTTAGTAATTGATAGTGAACAAAAAGAAAACTGAATTGTTTTATTTTGTTCTAGGCTCTGTACAATATTTATACAAATGGAATTTGATTTTTGTCAATTCAATGAAATCTGTAATCTCCTAAAAATTAGGAGCTAATTTATTCTATCCTAAAATACATTAGGAGTAAATTATTCTATCCTAAAATAGATCAGAAATCATGGGATATACATAGAATTTATAGCTGTACAAAAAAGATATTCTAGATTTTCAACACTCCCCCTCAAGATGGTGAATAGATATTTTCCATTCCCATCTTGCATGTAGTGTCTTCAAAGTTGGAAGTTGGCATTCCCTTAGTTAACACATTTGCCAATTGATTATTTGATGTTACATATGGAGTGCAAATCATGCCGCTGTCCAGCTTTTCTTTAATAACATGTCTATCTACTTTGATGTGCTTTGTGCGATCATGTTGCACTGGATTGTGTGCAATGTTGATGGCAGACTTGTTGTCGCAATAGAGTTTCATAGGTCCTTCCCACTTGATTTTAAGGTCATCAAGTATTATTTTGAGTCATAGCAATTCACAAACTCCATGAGCCATAGCTCTAAACTCTGTTTCAGCATTTGATCTTGCAACAACCGATTGCTTCTTACTCCTCCATGTCACTAGGTTCCCATCAAGAAATGTACAATATCCTGAAGTTGATCTACGATCTACAACAGAACCTGCATAATCAACATCAGTATATGCCTCTATGAGCAATCCTTCATTTTTCTTGAACAAAATTCCTCTACTCGGTGTCCCTTTGAGGTAGGATAGAATTCTGTTGACAGCCTGCAAGTGTTTCTCTCTTGGATCATGCATAAATTGGCTTACTACACTTACGGCAAATGCTATGTTCGGCCTTGTATGGGACAAGTATATCAGTTTCCAACCAATGGCTGATATCTTTCCTTATCTACTATGCTATCATCCTTCTCTTCATTCAATATCAAGTTAGGCTCAATGGGTGTGTTTGCTGCCTTGCATCCAAAATTGCCTGTTTCTTTAAGCAAGTCTAAGACATACTTTTGTTGGGAAACAAAGATGCCTTTACTTGAGTATGCCACCTCAATGCCTAAAAAATACTTCAGCCTCCCTAGTTCTTTAATTTCAAACTCCTTTGCTAAGTACTTTTTGAGTGTTTCTCTTTCGATTGGATCATTTCCGATGATGATGATGTCATCTACATATACAAGTAGAGCTGTAACATCTCCTTTTGAATGTTTTATGAACAAGGTATGATCTTCTTGACTTTGTTTGTATTGCATTACTAGCATCACTTTAGTAAATCTTCCGAACCAAACCCTTGGCGATTGTTTTAATCCATATAAAGCTTTCTTTAACCTGCACACTTTCTTTTCAAAAACATTTCATTGAAACCCGGTGGAGGTTCCATGTACACCTCTTCTTCTAAATCCCCATGTAAGAACGCATTCTTAACATCAAATTGCTGTAAACACCAACCAAAGTTAGTGGTTAAAGACAAAAGAACATGCACAGTATTCATTTTTGCAACGGGTGCAAAGGTCTTTGGTAATCTATCCCATATGTCTGTGTATATTCTTTTGCAACCAACCGAGCTTTATGCCTTTCTAATGAACCATTAGCTCTATATTTCAAAGTAAACACCCATTTACACCCCATTGTTTTCTTTCCTTTAGGCAGATTTACAATTTTTCAAATCTTATTTCTCTCTAGGACATTCATCACCTCTTTCATAACTTGTAACCAGTTCTTATTTCTAAGTGTCTCTTGTAGTGTTTGTGGGATTGAAATGGAGTTGATGGTAGTAAGAAAAGTTTTATGTTGTGGAGAGAGTCTATGGAAAGACACGAAATTTGAGATTGGATGCTTAGTGCGTTCTCGTGTTCCTTTTTGAACAGCAATAGGCAGTCTAAATCATTAAATTCACAAGAAGCAGAGTCAGATTGAACACACAAAGGAACAGAATTTTCAATACCTGATTGTGGTTCAGATTCTTGGATTTGCACAAGTTCAGAAATTTGAACTTTTTTCCTTGAGTAGACCTTGAGTGGTGTAGTTGGATTTAAACCAGTTTTTCTCTCAGCTCCAAGATCAGGTTCAATTTCTTTACTGGCATGTTCAACTTCAAATTCAGGTTCAGATTCACTGCTAACATGTTCTCCTTTGGAATTTGGTGTAGGGTCAGGTTTGAAAGATTTCAAGTTTAGTGTAGGACTTTGAAAATTAAGGAAAAATTTCTTATCTTTCCAAGAACTCTCCCCCTGGAGATGAGGATTGTTACTTTGAGAGTAAGATTCATTTTCAACAAATGTGACATCCATAGAGGTAAAATTTTTTTGAAGGTGGATGATAACACTTGTATCCTTTCTTTGTGTTTGAGTATCCCACAAAAATACATTTTAAAGCTCTTGGATCAAGTTTTCCTCTTTGGTGTGCATGAACATGTACAAAAGCAACACAACCAAACACTTTTGGTGACAATGTGCAAGAGACATTAAAATCAGGGTAAAAAATGGAAAGAGCAGCAATGGGACTCTGATTATTTAGCACTTTGAAAGGTACTCTATTTATCAAATGTGCAGCAGTTAAAATAGCATCCCCACAAAAGGTTTTTGGAATTTTATGTTGAAACAAAATTGCTCGAGTCACATTGAGTAAATGTCTATTTTTCCGTTCAGCAATCCCATTTTGTTGGGGTGTGTCTATACAGGATGACTCATGTATTATACCCTTTTTTTGAAAAAAAGATGAGAGAATTTGATTAAAATAGTCTGTTGGATTGTCAAATCTTACTCTTTTAATCAAACTTCCAAATTGTGTACAAATTATTTTATGAAACATTGGAAAAATACTGCTTACTTCTGATTCTTCTTTCATAAGAAATAACCAAGCAGTTCTAGTACAATCATCAATGAATGTGACAAACCATTTTGCTCCAGAAATACTAGAAACTCTACAAGGCCCCCAAATATCAGTATGTATCAAAGAGAAAGGTCTAGTAGATCTTGTATTACTCAATGAAAATGATAGTCTATGATGTTTAGCAATTTCATATGTATCACAATGAAAACTAATAACATCTTTATTCTTAAAAAGTGAAGGAAACATATTTTTAAGTAAAATAAAAGATGGATGACCAAGACGGAAATGATGAACCCAAATTTCAGATTTATTATTTGAGGAGCAGGTGAGGGATAACTGATTATTGTTCTTCTTGTTGCCACTCATTTCCTCAAGGTAATAAAGCCCATCATTCACCTTAGCAAGTCCAATCGTCCTCCCCGTAACTAAATCCTGAAAAACACAGTGAGTAGAATAGAAGATCTTTGGTAATTTGATGGATGGATATGAGATTGGAGAACAATTTTGGGACGTACAACACATTATTTAGGGACAAAGAATTTGATAGATTTACTGTCCCTTGGCCTGCAACAGTTATAGGAGATCCATCCGCAATAGTAATTTTTCTATTTTCAGGACATGGGTTGTATGTTCTAAATTTGATTGGGCTATCAGTCATATAGTCAGTAACTCTTGAGTCGATGACCCAAGAGCCTAGAGAAGACATGCTTGAGGCACTTAAAACATAAGAGTTAGAGTACTTACCTGATTGAGCCAATGAACACGTACTAGAGGACTTTTCAAGGGAATTTAGGAGGTTTCTTAGCTTTTCGATTTCTTCTTTCTTAAATTCTCCTATACCAGTGGTTGGATTTTTCTTGTGTTTGGTCTTCTCCATCAGTTAAGTGGGCTTTTCCTCCTTTGAATCCTCCTTTACGACTAAAGACTTGTTTCTTCCCATGGAGTTTGAAGCAATCATCTCGCGTATGGCATGATTTTTTGCAGTATGTGCACCAAATTGTGTCTTTATTTGACTCTGTACGTCCACTACCTATCTTTGCTTCCTTATTGTTTGACTTTGTAGAAATCATTGCCGAGCCTTCTAATGTTTTAGGCTCCAACATTACTTCTCGCCTATTCTCTTCAACTCGAATCAATGATATTGTCTCATTCAGAGATGATAATCTTTCCTTCCCCAATATCAGGACTCTGACTTGATCAAATTCCACATTCAGACCTGCAAGGAAGTCATAAACTCTATCCTTTTCGATAAAGTTTTTCAAGGTGGCTGCGTCTTCACTATACAAGATCTGAACACATTGATATTGGTCCAGTTCCTGCCATAGATTTTGCAGAAGATTGGCATATTGAGTAACAGAAAGGTTGCCTTGTTTAGTGGCTGAGATCTTTGTTTTGATCTCATAGATTAGGGCAGCATCTCCTGCCTTTGAATAGGTCTATCAAATAGTAGTCCATATATCTTTAATTGTTGGTAGGAACATGCAGTATCACTTATTTCAGGTAACAAGGAGTTCAGTTCTCTGCCGATATTGGTCCAATTCTTGCCATAAATTTTGCAGAAGATAGGCATATTGAGTAACAGAAAGGTTGCCTTGTTTAGTGGCTGAGATCTTTGTTTTGATCTCATAGATTAAGGCAGCATCTCCTGCCTTTGAATAGGTCTGTCGACTAGTAGTCCATATATTTTTAGCTGTTGGTAGGAACATGCAAGTATCGCTTATTTCAGGTAACATGGAGTTCCACAGCCATGACATGACCATAGAATCCTCTTCATCCCAAGCAGCGAATTTAGGATCTCCCTTTTTCGGTCCAGTTCCAAGCAAGTGGCTGATTTTGCCCTTTCCTTTGAAAAATGTTTGAACAAATTGTGACCACTTCAAATAGTTTTTTCCGTTGAGCCTGTAGGCTGCCTGGATATTCTGCAAATCCCCTGTTTGTGGAATATTTGAGGTCTCTTCTGATTTGGTATTGGAGTTGATTTCTGATGTTTCAGTTTCATACATGTTGGAAGTTTCAAAAAAAAAAATTGGCAATGAAGGCCTAATGAAAAAATCAGCAATAAGGCTAGAAATTGCATTTGGCAATAAAGACTTGAAAAGAAGAAAGCACTCAGCTTTGAAGGCTGACAAGAAGAGGTTCCAAGAGCAAAAGCTCTGATACCATGAACAAAAAGAAAACTGAATTGTTCTATTTTGTTCTAGACTCTGTACAACATTTATACAAATGGAATTTGACTTTTGTTAATTTTATGAAATCTGTAATCTCCTAGAAATGAGGAGCTAATTTATTCTATCCTAAAATACATTAGGAGTAAATTATTCTATCCTAAAATAGAGTAGAAATCATGGGATATACATAGAATTTATAGCTGTACAAAAAAGATATTCTAGATTTTCAACAGACAGCACTTGAAGAACCGTGAAAGATTAATTGGTCTGACACAAATACTTCAGACATCTAACGTGGAATGAAAAGTTCCCTTTCCCAAATTTCTCCACCTACAAAATGAAAGGTAAGCGCATTAAACTACAACAATGGTGATTGCTTAGATGAATTGATCAAATCAATAAATGAGAATAATAAAAAGAAAGGTATCATAACCTTAAAGTTGTCTATTCTAATTCAGTGAATCAGAAATTCAGTGAAAACACAATAAACTATCAGTCTCACTAATTATCAGAAATGGCTTTGGATCCTGTGAGGTCATCCTTTTGGTTATGGCCTTGAGTGATATCTTGATTCATAGACTGGAGATCTTAAAGTTGTTATTTTTGAATAATGGGGCAATGAGACATGCTCCAAAAACTTGATATCAGCTATACAAATATAAGACCAGACCCGCTATATGAATAATAGCTTATTAAGCACAAAGATAGTAAGTAACTGAATATACATAGGGCAACTGTGAGAAGCATAGTTTATCTTAAGAATGTAAACATTTGATGATATAGATAACAAAGTTGTACAAGGAAACAATATAAAATCACAGAATGTGTGTTCTAGTTACCTCATTTATCTGGATATTTAGTTTCTTCTTCCATGCGCTTGTGACATGTTTTTGGTTTTTCCAGCTGATTATACAGTTTTTCTCTTTCCAAACAAGAGTACACTATTACTATATGCTTCTTCTTCAATGAATCTTACCAATCTTCTTGGTTTTCCAGTAACAAACATTAGAAGACCAGAGCTATGCCAAGAACAAGTCCACAACCATATCCTATGAACACTGATTTCCAGGTAAATCCACCCATGAAACTGAATCCTGCCTTGTTCCAATGCCTCGTCTGGGGGCGCTTGTGGCACATGCATTTCTTCACAGCTTTTTGTTAGTGGGAATCCACATAATCCTGAGTTTCCGCTGTATGAATCTTCACCAAGTGTGCGCAATTGATTGCCTTGAGGAATGCGCCCAATAAGATGATTGCATGATAAGTTTAGGACTTCAAGAGATGTGAGATTCGTTAGCTGCATTGGAATCTCTCCTCCAATTTGGTTTCTTGAAAGGTCTAATGTTTCAAGAAATTTCAGGTTCCCAATAGCTGGTGGAATGTGGCCAGAAAAGTTATTGTTGGATAAGTTCAACAACTTGAGGGAGTAGAGATTTCCAATGACATCTGGGATCCTCCCATGAAACATGTTGCTCGACAGATCAATGGTTGTGAGAGTTCTAATGATTTTGGTGAACTCAATCTCATAGCCTTTGGATGTCATGTTGACAGAGTATGGATAATTTGTCGTATTGCCGGTTGCATGCAAGTATTTAGATTCTGATTTGTTGCTTTGTAAGCTCATCATGGCCCTGAAGCTTTCCAAAAGTTCTGTAGATAGAACACCGCTGAACTCATTGCAAGAGAGGGCGAAGATTTGCAACTTTTGGAATGGGCTCTTAGCCTTGAAAATGCTAATGGGTCCAAAGAATCTGTTATAACTCAACACAAGAACTTGGAGCTCCGTAAGATTTTGTAACCATGCTGGAAATATATCTTTCAGACGGTTGTTCCCCACATCAAGGACTTCTAAGTACTTGCAGTTGGCCAAAGTTTCTGGCAGCGGCCCTTCCAAGAAATTTGTATTCAGACCAAGATACCTCAATCTGCTATCTTTTGCAAATACCATTGAATTAATGGTCCTTTGCAGGCGATTTCCTTCCAAATTCAAGACCACAAGTTGACTAGAAAAGTTCCCAAAACACCGAGGAATTGCACCAGTAAATTTGTTCCTTGACAAATCAAGAATTGCTAGAGCTTTCAAATTGCAAATGAAAAGAGGCAATTGTCCTTGGATTTGGTTGAATCGAACATCTAGAACCCTTAGATTCTTCCAAGGTAATGCATCCATCCCAGAAAGGTGGTTGTAAGATAGATTTAGATACAGAAGTGAATCCCAAGGCATGGATGTCACCCAGCTGGGAATCTGACCTTGAATCTTATTGCCAGCGAGCTGTAGAACTTCTAACTTCTTTGAGCTTCTGAGAAATTCTGGAAAAGCCTTCATCTCGCAAGAAGATAGCTCCAAACGATGAAGGTTTGGTAAAGAGTTGCTGACATTCCCGCTGGTGCTCCATGATATTCGATTATTAGAGAGAACAAGGTACTCAAGACTATCACTGGATAGTTCAAGCACGCCACTCAAATTATTTGATGAGAGGTCAAGGAAACCTAAAAATGGGAGTGTTGAAATTGATTTAGGAATTTGACCATATAATTGGTTATTACTCAAATCAATTTTCATCAGTGACATTCCATTGAGCTCTTCGATTTGTCCTGTTAGGAGATTGTTTTTGAGAAGCAAAGTTGTGAGTAACTGCAGGCTAAATAACCATGTCGGTGCTGTGCCATGGAGCGAGTTGTTTGAAAGATATAGAAAAGACAATCCCTGAAGGCCACTCACGTTTGATGGAAGAGGACCAGTTATCGAATTGGATCGTAGATCCAGTGTCTGGAGATTGGTAAGGTTCGCAATGGTGAATGGGAAAGGGCCAACCAAACGGTTGTCTGGCAATGACAATTGAGTTAGTTTTTGGAGATTTGTGAAACAATCTGGTATTTGGCCTTGCACTTGGTTGCCTGTAAGGTCTAAAACTTCCAGTTGGACAAGATTTGAGATCACCGATGGAAGAGGCCCACTGAAACTGTTATGAGTCAGAGACATTGTAGTGAGCTGAGAAAGGTTTCCAATTGACTCAGGAAGGCGACCAGTGAACTGACATCCATCGAGCAACATGCTGTTCAAGAACTTCAAGCAGCCAAATGTGTTGGGAAGTTCCCAGAAAAATTTGTGTCAGCAAGATCTAAGTATGACAACATATATGAAGCAGTGCAGTTAAAGTTCGGTAAACTTCCAGTGACTTGAGTTCCATCTAGTATGAGTTGTTGCAATTTTGCTAGAGAGAAAATATGGTCTGGTAGCTTACCATAAACTTGAGTTTGACCCAGATCCACAATTGTAAAGATGAAGAAAAGTTCTTGGGGAACTCGGAGAAGATACTAACGTTAGAAAGAGAAAGTATTCTAACCTGAGTTATGTTTTGAAGAAGCAGTTGGAAATCCTGATGTTCAAACTCAATAGGATTTTGGGAGAGATCGAGTGAAACTAAATTTGACAGTAAAGATATTTGGGATGGAATTTGACCGTAGAAATTGGAATTGGAGAGATTGAGGTTTGTTAAACTAGTCAAGCCACCAATGCCATGAGAAATTGGTGAATTCTTGAAGTCGTTGTAAGCTAGATTAAGCTTTTGGAGGCGAGAAAGATTGAACAGGCTACTATTAGCATGGATGGATCCTTGAAGTTGGCTGCAACTAAGGTCTATGCCAATTACATGGCCTGCACTCTATGGCATGTTACCCCATCCCAGGTGCAGCAATCAGAAGTTTTGTTCCATGATATCATCTTTGGATATGCATATTCGCAGTAGGCAGAAGCATCTGTTGATGTTTGAAACATTTGCTTAAGCTGAAGTAGAGCAAGACCCTCATCATGGTGACACAAATGAGGTGAAAGGAGGACAAACTGGTAATTTCTCGAGATTGCAATGAAAGGAGCACTAGTGTATAAACTATTAGATTCCTCATTTTGCTTGATCAAATTTTGTATGTGCAGATTGTTGGTGTAGCATATATATATATATATATATATATATATCCTAAACTCACTTTGCTTTGTGCACAAATGGACCAGTTCTCTTTGGATGGCTTCTATCACATTGTTACTAAATTCCTATCTAACCATCCCTTTCATGAGTAATGGCTAATTAGAATGGGCCTTAGCTCCTCTGAAAAGTCTTTCATGAGTAAAGACTTGTAATGCCAAGAAACTACATTTACGTTCTAAATTCATTTCCACCATAAATGCCTTTGGATCAACGAGTCTACTAATTGTCACAGCTATGGGGCCAAAGTGGCCTACCCATCTCAGCCCTTTTCGTTCATGAGTATTATCTGAACTTTTGAACCTGTAATCTGGAATTCACTTTTGTTTTGTTGTAAAACAAAAAATTGGAAAAAAAATGATTAAAGAGATGCAGAAAGTCAATAAGCATTCTGTTAAGATTACTTAACTATCTTGCTTTTCTTGTTTTAATTGGATCATGAACCATTTCATGGTTACTTGTTGCTGTTTGAAGTTTGTGGTTGTATTCTTGTGCTTTATTATATGGTTATTCTTGACTCCTTACCTAGGATATGTGAATTGTCTTTTGTAGTTAAAATAGAAATTTCAACCTTATTTTCGAGTTAGTTCATGCTATTAGATTTTGTCTCGTGGATTGATCATGTGATTTGAAGAACTTCACCATAAATTTTGTTAGTAGATCCTAATTTGGTGAAAATTATACCTTATAAATCAAGTAATATGGTGAGCTTCTATCCTAAAATCAAGTCTTCCTGCTAACTATAAGAAACGTTCCAGAAAGATGCATTTTGTTACTCCACAAAACCCTTCATCCTAGTTTGTTTTGTCACATTGTAGTGTGAAAAAAGATCATTCTGTTGAATATATAACTCTCCCTCTTCTCAAAATTGTCGTACCATTTGGTGGGGAAACTCCAAAGCCAATTAAGATTATGCTGGTCGCTGGTGCTCTAATTTTCAGGTCCAGTGAAGAATAAGTTCTGTTCAAGTTGCTTCCATGAATTTCACTTCTGACAATTTTGGATGAAGACTAGGCTTCACTTATCTATCATTTATTGCAAAAGACTGAGGATGACTTGTTCTTTTCCAGAAAGTCAAAAAATGTCGCTTGGATTACTTTCTCTCTGTTTACACATATCAGCTTGGGGTAAACGATTGAAGTTTGAATGGTGCAAAGCTGTTCCAATTCAATTCCCACAAAGGTGCAAGTTGATTAGTCAATGTAAAGCATTTGAAAGCACACTAGCCTAGTTTTTAGTCTCAAAGATCACCTCTTTGGTAGGTGGGGAATAATGAAGAGAACTATTGTCATAATTTTCATCGAACCACTTTCAATATGCAAACCAAACTGGGATATACCCCTTTTTTCATATTTTCTGAACATGTTCTTGATTTCATTTTCAACCATGAAGCAAAAGATAAAGTTGCAGGGAATCAGAATCTCTTTGCACCTGGAAGTTGACAATCATAAAAAGAAGCAACTATTAGAACCTTAAAACGTGCATAGCAGATACAACTGGAACTGAAACAAAGCCAGTTTTACTGCTGATCCTTCCTGATTACCTCCATTGGGAGGCATGGACATAAGAAGTCAAATTTTCTGGTGATTAGCCATAGAAAAAAGTTATCATTTCCAAGGATATTTGATTATGTGAATGGAAATTATGCAAAGGAAGTAAAATTATTAGACAACAGCTGCAGGAAAGAGTATGTTTTGCCCACCAATTTTGTAAATTGCATTGCTGTTCTCAAGTTCGTATGTGGACATATTTCGTTCCTCGATCTTTTTCGCAGTTTGTATGACTTCAACAATCTGGATGAACCATCTTGGTTTTTCAGTTAAGAACATGAGACTTCCCATGGCTAGTCCGAGCACTAATCCGCAACCATATCCCAGAACAACAGCTCTCCAAGCAAATCCATCAAAGAACTCTGGATCATATTGTTGCTCAGATCCGAATGGTGAGGCTGGTGGTGGTGCCCCTGTATTTCCACAATCTTTAGTCAATGGTGATCCACACAAGGCCAAGTTCCCTCTGTATGAATCATTCCCAAATGTATCAAAATGTCTTCCTCGAGGAATGAGTCCAATCAGATGATTTTCTGAAAGGTTTAAGAATTCAAGGAATGTCAGATTCAGAAGCTCCACAGGAATAGTTCCCTCAAGCTGGTTCCAAGAGAGGTCTAGACATTCAAGCTTATTCAAATTCCCTAATGGCCGGGGAATATGACCACTTAGATTGTTATGAGAGAAACTGAGTACGTATAAGAAGAGAATGAAGGGTTCCAATAATTTCTGGAATTCGTCCTTCAAATCTGCTGTTTGAGAAATCGATGGCTGTTCGATCTATGAGGACTCTTTCAAGACTATACTCCGTTCCTTTGATTACTAAAGTCAAGGAATGGATGTAATAATCAAGCTCATAGCCAGTTTCTGACATATATTCCCCACGGTGATCCTTAAGCTTCTCATTGCTTCTAAGCTTTTGAAGAGTTCTGTAGGTAGAACACCTGTGAGCTCATTGCAGGATGCATCGATGATTCTCAGCTGCGGAAATGGGCTTTCAGTTTGAAAATTCCCAGTTGCTCCGTGAAATCGATTATGAGAACCTGTAGATTAGGTAGAGATTCCAACCAAATTGTGAAATCTATCATCAATCTTGTTGTTCCCCAAATGAAGGAGCTCCAGTTCTTCACAATGAGCTAAAGATCGTGGCAGTGGCCCTTGCAATTGATTGTTATTCAGCATAAGAATATTCAAAGAGTTGCCTTGTGAAAAAGTGGTGGGAATGGTGCCAAAAAGTCCATTGTTTCCCAAATCCAAAACGTAGAGCTTCTGGCTGAAGTTTCCCAAGCATTGAGGGATTGGGGAACCAAATTGTTATATGACAAATCGAGAATGAAAAGAGAAGTTGAGTTACAGATAGAAGAAGGCATTTGACCCTGAAGTGAGTTGAAACTCATATCTAGATACAACAGATATTTGCACCGCAGTTGGTCTATGGTACCAGTCAAAAAGTTATGCGAAAGATTCAAGTAGAGCAAATTATCCCAAGTCTTGGACATGACCAGCTTGGAATTTTGCCGTGAATCCTGTTATTTGAGAGGTCCAGAAATTTTAAGCTCTTTGAATTTCTAAGTAACTCTGGAAATTCCTTTATCTGGCAAGAAGACAATCCCAAGTGCCAGAAATCTGGATAGGAAATGCTCACATTGTTTGTAGTGTTCCATGGAGCTTCATTTTGAAGAGGGTTCTTTTGAAGCTTATTGAAGTCCACAAATACATCTTGTCCAACCCCAGCAAAATGGTTTGAAGAAAGGTCAAGGTAAGATAGGGTCGGAATAGTAAAAATTGATGGAGAAATTGAACCGCTTAGTTGATTACGAGAGAGATCTAAAAAGCCAAGATGTGTAAAGTTGAGAAGTGAGTTTAGAAATTTTCCGGCCAATAAATTGTGACCAAGTGATAGTCTACTTAGCTTCTGTGAACTGGAAAATTTATCTGGAATTTCCCCTAGAAGATAGTTGTCTTCTAGAGATAATTCAGTAAGTTGTGTAAGGTTGCCAATTGATTTAGGAACGACACCAGAAATTTGACAAGTTCCTAGATGCAAATAATTTAAGGACCTTATGCACCCAATTGAATCTGGTAGTGCTGCAGAGAAACTTGTCGTCGATAAGTCCAACTGCCTCATAGAATAAAAAATGCTGCAGTTTAATTTTGATAAACTAACAGTAAGATTCTCATAGCCACCTAACGAGAGAACTTTCATATTCGATAGATGAAATACATTAGCTGGTAGATTACCTGTTATTCCAGTATATGAGAGATCTAGATATGTCAAAGATGAAAAAAAATTCACCCTTAACTCGGATGAGATGTTCACTGACGAAAGCGACAACTCTCTTAAATGGGTTAAGTTTTGAAGCATCGCTTCAAAATTACTAGATTCATATCTTAGATGCGAGCAACCCATAGAATTACACAGGAGATTAAAAGAGAGATCAAGTGAAATTAGGTTGAAAATGTGTGATATTTTCAAAGCAACTTCTCCTTGAAAATTTGAATTTGAGAGATTGAGGTGGATCAGCTTTTTAGCGAGCCAAATCGCTGTGAAATCCGTGAACTGATGAAATCATTAAAAGCAAGGTTGAGGGCGTGGAGATGGAAAAGATGGAAAGGGAAGCGTTTGGATGGATGACTCCTTGAAGCTGGCCACAACTCAGATCCAGCCCAATTACACGACCGGTGAGGTTGTCGCATGTGACACCATCCAATTGCAACAATCTGTGTCTGGTTTCCAATGTGTTGTCTTTGGATATGAGTACTGACCAAAATAATTGCAATCATGAGAAGCATCAGTTGATGTGCTATGCATTTCCTTAAACTGAAGCAGTGCGAGAGCCTCATCATGATCTTCCAAGAAAGTGAAAGTGATCACTTCTTGAGGTTGTAAAAGAAAGAAGAAAAGTAAGGTACTATAAAATGTTATCGGTCTCTTCATTATTGCTTGATAAACTTTGTAACCGTTTATATAAAGGCGCGGGATTTGTATGGAAGAGAGGTATTTATTTGAAGTCCCACGGAGCTGCATGTTGAAGAACAGCTTAATTTCCACACCATTGGGAGACTTGGATATTAAAAGTCAAATATTCTAGAGATTAATTAGCACATTACCAAAAAATTTATTATTCCATGAGTATAAGTTCAATAATTAGTTAATTTAGTTAATACTTAACATCTTTACAGCAAGATCCATAATTGATGCATTTTACAAACCTACAAAGTTGGAAGGTAATAATATATATTATCGGACAATAGGTGTAGAAAAAGTACGCTTAATTTGCCTACTTTTGTTTTTTTGTTTTTTGTTTTTTGTATGAACTTGTATTGCCATGATATAAATTACTAATTTCTTGTGTTGTTCATACTTGTCTCAGTTTTGGCTTGATTCTTTAATGAATGCAGTCATTCTTTCGAAAACAATGTACTGACAAAGTAAGAATGACTTAAATTTCTTACAGATTCTTTGAGCAATCGTTCAATGACAAAGTTCAGGAAGCCATTCTAGGAGCAATTTTCATCCTCATGTCGCTCTTTGATTAACCAATATTCTCAAATTCTTGTATATATATATATATATATATATATATTATAATATATATATATTTCGCCGCAGATGATATTTCACCACGCCATTATGTTAATTTAAAATTATTATAATTTTGTTCCAGTTGCTAAACTATAAGGAAATGTACCCTACCTCATAGTAAAATCATTTAATAATATGTAATATGTTACTAGAGCAAACATATATTTTTGCTTAGCCAACGTGGGAGTTCTAATTATTGTCCCCTTCTACAGTATGATGGACACTTTGCATTTTAAACTTGTTAAAAGTTTTCTCCACAACTATTTTTTAAAATCTTGTTTGTATTCTTAAAAATCACTGCTTTGGTTGGAGGGAAAAAATGAAGAGGATCACTGCCATAATTTCCATTTTTTTTTATTAACATTCAATATCCAAACAAAATCAACTAGGATACTTGCCCTATTTCACATTCTCTGAAAAATTTCTTTTTATCAACCTTGAATCAAATTACAAACGAACAGGACACCAAAGTCGATCTCTTTAAAGTTAAACCATAAAAAGTAGCAAGTAGTAAGCATTAGAACTATTAGATTCCTCATTTTTCCTTGATCACATTTTTGTATATGTTGAAGATTGATGTAGCATATATATTCTCCATTCACTTTATTTTGTGCACAAATGGACCTGTTCTCTTTGGATGGCTGCTACCAGCACTCTACAGAATTCCTATCTAACCATCCATCCCTTTCATGAGTAATTGCTAAATTGCGATGAATTCTAAATCCTTTCAGAAGTCTTAGAATCCCTATGAATTATCTGCTATCCTCATTAAGGCTTGAAGAGACGAATAACTGCCATATAATGTAAAGAAACTACAATTAATAGATTCTAATTTTTTCCACCATATATAGTATAGTAGTCATGGTACCAAGTGCCTACCCATCTCTCAGTCATTTTGGATTAACTTCCCTCATTAATGAGTATCATCTAGCTGTTGAACCTTTCATAGGCTCATATCTTGAATCGACTTCTTTTTGTTAATGAACAATAAATCGGAAAAAGAAATGATAAAAGAGATAGAGAAAGTCATTGAAGTATTCTGTCAAAGTTACTTTTTGTTGTGAAAGCTCCGAAGCCAGTCAAGTTGGTTCTCTGATTTAATTCAGGTCCAATGGTGAATAAATTTTGCCAAGCTTCTTCTAAGAGTTTCAGTTTCAAAGACGCGTATTGATTTTATGGATACCTGCAAGTCACTTATCTTCACCTATTCTTTCCCAGAAACTCTTGGCATTATAGAAGTTTGAGATTATTCAAACGTAATAATATCATTAGATAACAGGTGTAGAAAAAGTATGTTTTGCCTACCATTTTTCAACAGACATGTATCCGCATATGCATTACAGCATACTACCATAATAATGGAGTTGTTCTTTTAAACACAATGGTGGTCAAACTCAACCATCCTTAATTTCTGAATAGTGATAGTTTTATAATGACATAAATTTCTTGTAAAGTCTTGGGCAATTGTTCGATGACAAAGTTGAGGAAGATGTTCTGAGAACATGTTTTTCTTCCTGCGGCCAATATCAGGGCAATTGAGAAGAACAATTTAAAGCTTGAAAGACAGACACACATTATGTATATAGTAGCCATACCATCTCTTTATTTGTCTACTAATTTTTTGGGAAAGTTTTCAAGAACATCAAAATGAATGTTTCTGATATTATATAAGAAGTAGTCTGATGGTTGACTTGATTTAATTTTTTTTTTTAGCAATTTTCACAGAACTGCAAAACATTTCTGTTATTTGGAAATAAATTTTTGCAAAGGAATACTAGAAGCAATTGTTTCAAATATTTTTTTTCATGGTCCTTTATTGAATGAAATCTATTTTAACACATTAAAGTGTAAGATAAAATTGTTACAAACATTTGTAATAAAATTCAATGGCATGATCAAGTAATAAAAGTGGGCTCGTAAGGGAAACGCGCTAAGTAATGTAGAAATAAAAAATGTTAATTAAAACTATATAAAACTTAATATTATGCATAAAGAAATTGTAATTGGAACAAAAACAGTAATTGATAATGAATAATTCTTTTGTAGACATAGCAATTCAAAGGGTCTTTTTTTTTTTTTTTTTAATTCTAGCAAAGGAGGAATGAAATTTAAAAAATCGCAAGGAGAGAAGGGGGTTTAAAATCCAAGATATCTAAATATTGAGACCTCAACCTAACCATTAAAGTATCTTGTTAGAAGATAATAGAAATAATTATACATTTCTTTGGCACCAATCTCTAATTGAACTAAATGTCATTCATAGAGTACAATAATTTCTGTTCAGAAGACCTTCAGAGGAAAACTTTATATTGGCTGTTCTTTCTTTTCTATAGTAAGTTAGTCTACAAAAAGACAGATCTTGGTAGTTTATAGACAGTGTCCAACTAGTGAATTGCCTATCGGGGCTTCCATGTAGTTATACTCTTCATGGTCCACGTAAATATACATTAGAAAAATAAATTTTCCAAAAGAGAAAGATTCCATTGTTCTTCTAAGGATGCAAATTGCCCAAAAAAAAAAAGCTAAATTGCCAGCTAAGTCTTAAACTACTACTCAAATTTTTACGACATCTCATCCGAGTAGAATCTTCTATAGTACTAACTACATCTTACCCAATATATTGAACTAATTGATTATTGTTGTTTCATTAAATAGTGATAATTAAGGATTTAGGGTAAGTTTTGGTCTTTTTGTAGGATAATTAAGAATTGATTGAAATTAGCCAATACTCTTTAAGTAGTCTTAATTTCCCAGGCAATTGCATACAAGCATTTTCCGATTAATGGTCCAGGAAATTTCTATGAATTTCCAAGTACCTATATGGTCGCACCACAAAGGCTGTACTGTTAAACAGATTTCAAATACTATGCCAAAGCTGATTCTTTGAGTACAAATTTTACCACAAAGGCTGTACTGTTAAACAGATTTCAAATACTATGCCAAAGCTGATTCTTTGAGTACAAATTTTACCACTCATCAAAACTCTGCGCCAATTAAGTCTAAGAATTCCCATTCAACTGTTAATGAATTGGGACCTTAATATTGATTCATAAGTTATAACCCATATTGGTTGGTCTCTTTTTCTGTGTTAAGCAAATCATATCAAAAATAGATTTTGGGCATTCCCAACATAAAATTCACGTCGTAATTACCCATCATTTATAGTCATTTATTACCCACACTAGCTTGGTCTAGATCTTAAGATGACTAGTCCCTTTTAATCAGAAATCTTGATTCCTCTTTAGTCAAAATTAAGAAAAGAAGTACTTCCACATAAAATTGTTGCATAATTGATAAGTGACTAATTTACGTTATGTTTGAATGATATTTTATGTTATTTTTAGTCACTTTGGTTATATTATTGGAAGAAAATGAATCATTTTGGCTATAATTGGTGAAAAATGTTCTTAAGTGATTAAATGAGGTTTTTATCACATTTACTTGCATTTTGTGCATTTTTGACACATTTTAGTATTTTGGCTATAACTTGAGCTACAGTGATCGGATTGAGATGATTCTTAAACCAATTTGAAGATAAGAGATAGCTCTACAACTTTGGTGAAGGCATTGAAATCCAGTTTGAAGGTTTTCCAGGTCAAAAAGCCGAACTACAGTAGCCA